ATTCCCATTGGGATGGTTATAGTCCCGACTAAGTGGGATATTTGTAGTCTATATAGACTACAAATATCCCACTCAAGCAATGTATAATTTTTCATTGTTACTGATTTGTAGATCACTCCGATACATTTCACAAGCGGCGTGAACGTTCCCATCACAGCTTGGGGGTTCTCCAGGTGCCAATATCACAATATGGGGGTCTGGAATATTATTGCAACCCACTGGTGTATTGTTATTGATTTTTTCATGTAAACTTTCTAAGTTAAATGCATCGTTTGACATTTCATTAAATGCCATCTCAAATTTCGTTAGAAGATTTTCTGTAAACAATGATTCACCAATTAATGGTTGATCAGTGGACTCTTCCATAATATCATTGGGAGAATTTGGAAGAGTAAATTGTATCAATAACCGTAATGTTGCGTGTGATGTTTTCCGTGGAGTGTCAAAAATATTGCCTGATTTAAATGTCAATGCTGCAAAGTCTATGTTATCAATAACAGCCAAATTAAAGATATGTTGTGTTCCTCGAATTATTTTTGACGTAGGATCTACATGATGTGCTCTGTTCAGTTCAAGTCGATTTTCATGCCGTTTGCAGTAAGAGATAACCTTTGCACCATAAAGAATTTGCCATAAGTATGGCAATAGTTTTGGTTTCTGGCATATTGATGACATGATATGTGTAAGCCAGATTTTCAACCCAGGGAAGGTGATTGTCAGTATCATGGAGACAAATAAAGTTGTTGTTCTCGTTATTTGATCGGCATCAATGTCTTTCAACGGGAGAGTACGTTGTCTTCTCTTTTTGTTAACAGCAGCTAATTTTTTTTCTTGTAACTCAGTAAAAAGGCCTTGGAAAAAGTCACAAAGATGATCAGGAAGTGCATCACAATAGTCTTTATAAGAGCTTGGTTCTTCTAACTGTTTCTGATTTTCTTGAATTTTAGAATAAGATGATGCAATCCTTTTCCCCAATGCCTTTCCTGTAATAGATGGCGTTTCTGGTGCTTCTGGAGTTACTGCATAAGTCAAGTCGACTTTCCCCAATTTCAAAGCAGTTCCGACCAGCAATTTTTTCAGCCAAATAGCTTCTGATGTATTCGCTTGGTTATCTTTATGAAGAACTGCAAGTACTGGTTCTAATAACAGGAGGAGGTTTTCTTGCAACTGTCGATTATTTGACTCTGATACAGACATTATCCATTTTCCTATATCATGTAATGCATCGCGTATATCATTACTGTTACGGTGTTCTCCACGTTCTCCACAAGATACAAATTCTTTGTTTCTGCTGACTTTTTCACGTAAATGCCCACCCTGTTGCTGAAAGCATTTTGTACAGATATAGCGTGCACGATAACCTGAAGAATGTTTTTGTGCAATTGATCCTTCAGTAAATATACAATCAGCGCCTAGGCAAGGTACTTGAACATTATATCCATTGACCTTTGCTGAATGTTCACTGCAACCAGTACCACGGCTAAAAGAAAACGTTTTTATTGCATTACAGAAAAGACAATTATGACTTCGAACAAAGTCACCATTGACAATCGGATTACGGCTCTTATGTTGTTTAGGATGAAGTTGATTCTGATCAAACATAAAATGCTGGTGACATACTCCGAGTAAATCGTGTCTGTCTTTGACTGCATTGTCATTCCCATCTATCTCCCACATTCCTCCAAGTTGACGTATTGAACATAACCTTTCTGTACCGTTGCAGCGTTTCACCTCGCCGTCAATTAAATCTAGAACAACACATGGGGTGAAAGTTGACATAGGTGCAATAACTTTTTCTTGCGTTATTGAATAAACTTGGCTAGAAGTTCTGTAATATTCATCCCAGTCTATATCATTTTCTTCTTCATCATCATCTTGCAAGGCTCCTGCAAGCACGTTGGAATATGTCTTTTTAAAATTGTTGGTAAAAATAGCCAAATTGTCAGTAAAATCATCATCGCCGCCAACAAAATCTTCTTCAATGTCCATGTCAGAAAATTCGAAATTGCTCATGTTGTTTAAATTTTTATTTTAAGCGTTTTGTTAATAATGTAATGGTTGACGTTGTATGTTTCTGTTCTATCAGTATTGGGTATTCACAGATGTAATTTTAATGATTGCGGAAAGCTCAATTTATAAGAATTCTCAACATAGGTATGCAATTATTTTATTTCAATAGAATTACTATAATAATAAACGTTTCCAACACTCTCAAGTACGCCAAGTCGTGACAAGCTAAAAATAAATCTATTATCTTTATTATTATTATTTTGCTAATTTTATATTTTTATATTCCTAATGGTATACTCAAATACAAACTTTGTATGCTTAATGTACGTGCGCGCATCCATGACTCGATTTTAGCACTACCATTGCAATATTAATATTAATATCATATTTAGAAATACGAATACTAATACGTTGTTGGAACCAAATACGCCACAATTGTGGCAACATTTCTATTTTAAACCTTGCATGTGGAGAGAATTCCGTATCGTTATTACTATAAATATCATTAATTTTGGAACCAAATGCGCCACAAATGTGGCAACATCTCTATTTTAAGCCTTGCATACAAGAGAATTTCAAATCTAATACCAAATATATAGTGGCGTAGAGACAAACGATGATAATAATAGTAATAGTAATAACAATATTGATGTTACATAGCACTCAAACAAGGATTGTGATCTCATACATATTGTTATATATATAGTAACCAATTATTTTCACAATGACTAAAAATAAACATCAAATTACACAGAAATGTGTTGCAACAATTACATGGTACATCTTATTAATTGTCAGATTTGTGGCAGCTGAAAAATTTCTTTCGATTTGTAGTAACTTATTATTATCAAGCAGTTGTAGTTGGTATTAATATTGATAAGTTTAACTATTAATATTACAGTGGGGTAATTCTTTTATTTCGTATTTTTCTCCCCACTTGTTTTGGTGCAGTAATAGTAACATATATCATGCATGACTCGATCCAAATATTAACACTAATATGAAATAAGATACCATTACTATTGCTATTTGCGAGAATAGATGTTGTGAAATTGCATAGTAATGTGACAGAAAAAACTTTTTCGATGAATCAAAAGCACATGATTTTAGGGGGGGTGATGTTTACCATAAGTTACAACGATCATGCTTTAGCTAACTTTATCCAGTATGTCAGGTTTCGCATTCACAACACTAGTTACCCGGAACAGATGTCATGCATATAATATTGATATTAATATTGATCACAAGAAAAAAATTTTCTCTCTCTTGCCTGCTGAATCTTTTACTGTAAATATCGCAAGCTGAATGTAGACTTGACTTCTATATGTGAACCAGATGTGAAACAAGATTTTTTTTACTAGGTATAAACATCTTACTGAAAAATCTGAAAAAGGTTATGTACAGTGATCCTGTCGTTCAATGGCGCAAGACATAGATGCATTATGGCTGTACATTTGTCGATTGTTATTATAATGATGAATTACAAAAGTTAACCTTTTTATGGAATTTGTTTTCTGTTCGTTATATATGTTACTGCTAACCATTCAACTGAGTCATGGAAGAACGGAAAGCAATAGGTCTGATAATACTAAATATTATAAATTATTATTATAATTACAATTATATATTCATGCTAATCTTTTCAGCTGTTGGATCAATACAGTGAGTGTGGTATTATTTGCATTCGCTGCATAATACCATCTTTCTCAAAAGCCGAACTTTACAATGAGTTATACACGAAGAGAATTTCGGGCCATACAGTGACACTTATTATTATTATACAGGCTTAGTCATCATTCGCATCTTCACTTCTTGTTCCATTATTATATTGTGCTGATGTCTACTCGGCTCAACACAAGGTGATAGCTCAATTTTTTATTTTTTCAAATTTGACATTACTATGAATTTCGGCTGTCTGAAAATTGACACATACCCGACCCATCAATTTTATTTTTCCAAATTTGGCAGTTCGACATTACCGAATTTCGGCCGTCTGAAAATAAGACCCGAACTTGGCACGTTGCTTTTTTCTTATAAAAGACAGGACATTCACGACAGGGAAGCTGACAGGAAAAGCTAAGTCTTTATTTCAGAAATCCAATTAATTACCATACCATTGCCATTGCCATTACTTTTATTACTATCGTTATCATATTTTAGTTTACAAACATGCAAGAAAATCACTTTTACAAAAACCGCAAATTGCCCGTAGGCAATCTATACTTCAAACACTGGTTAACGCATGCATATTTTCCAAGAATACATTCGTTTGCAGATACGACCGTGAATAGCAAGATTGTGACTGCGGCATACAACGAGGAATTTAATGCCGCTAGGATTTATGCTGAGCAGAAATTTGATCGCAAAGCATTAGAAAAATTTAAACATGCGGAATCTAAGTATAAGAATGTGAACAAAGTGAGTATTACGACTAAATTGTGTCATAAATATTAATGATGATGCGAAATGTAATATGGTAGTTAATTGGTGGTTGACATGGGCGCCCATGTCAGTACGCTGATCCGGGCGTCGTCGTGCGAGGTCTTAGTCTATGGGACAAAAAGTGCCAGCTCTGTAGACATTCAAAGGGTCAGTTGTACGAGTTCCATCGTCATGCGCTTAGCATCCTGAGGTGTTCTTGCGTCAAGCTGCTACGGGCTATGCCTAGAGTACCCCGTCGGTAGTCAGTGGCATGGATTCTCATAATAATAATAATAAGACATAAATACGAATGACTCTGATTTGATTTGTCGCTATTCTGATTTTTGATGACACATTTTGAAAATTTGATTATTGTATGTAGTATATTAATAACCAAATTTAATAATTTTACAATTTAGCAAAAAATATTTACGGAAATTTTTACGGAAGAAAAGAGAATGGTGAGGCTTCAATCAAGTATAAGATATCTGCTGCATTTATTAATATCATTATTGCTACAAGATGACTGAACTATGAATCTATTTATATTTTAGCGTCAAAAAAACGAACAACAGCGGAATAAGGAGATAATAAAGAATAATATAGAGAATATTATCCATCGCTGTGTATGTAAATGTTAACTGACAGTTTTTGATTTTCATTATCCAATAATAATAAATTGTACTAATGATAATGTCGATAATAATAATAATATTTTAGACAGAAGCACTAGCGGGAATGTGCACGAACAAAGAAAAAATCGTGTACAAAGCTGTGCACACAATTCTTACTCGAATAAACATCGATGACGTCAATCCGAATGATCCAATGGCATCTGGGGTGCTAGACCTGACGATGTTGGGTGACACCTACATGAAAGAGTTGCCAGAAGACGTTCTAGAGTTGCTAACTGTCAGCAACCTTTTAAAAGAAGTTGAACTGCCGCCGCGAGCCCAAGAATTACTTGACGAATTTGAAAAGACGTACAAGGATTTGGGAACTGATTTCTGTCTATCAGATATGGATGGAATTGGTTACCCAGTGGGTATAGAAGATCGTCAGCTCAAGAAGAATATGGGGATGATATGGGGTGTCCTAGAGGGGCTGTAAGTATCAAGCTATTACTATTGGCTGTATCTGATTTGTTATAGTAATAATATTAATATTAATATTAATAATAAACTAATTGTTGTACAATTTTAGGCGGAATATCTGGACGTGCACACCAAGATTGGATGAGTCGGACTACATATACAGTGAAAATGCCCTTGTGGTAGAAGCTGTGTCCAGAATTCTCATACC